GATTTTGTCCACTTCCACCAGCCACAATTAAAGTATAAATTCCAAGACAGCTGAAACATTGTCTTATTTCCTGCTGCATTCCCAGCCCCTAGATCAGTGCCTACACATAGTAGGTACTGAACAAACACCTGTTGAATTACCAAATATTAGAAAGTACTAATGAGAGATAAGGGAGATTCTTTATGAAACAGGACATCTCATCCAGACAAGGATGTCATGATGCAGGGGGACTGTGATTTATAATGCTCTACTGTCTTGCTAAGGACTGTAAGAGGCAGTAGCAAGGGAGACAGGGAAGTAGACTCAACCACCATAAAAAGCAATCCAAGTAAAAATGTTCATGTCATCTCTTTCTCATTTCATCTCAATTTTGTTTGCAATTATATTAAATTCCCACCCTCTGCTCATATCATGTGGTAAGAAAAAGATGGGCCTAGAAATTGCTCAGAAACAATTTTACTGCCATTTGTGTCTCTATTTCTCTAGCTCTTTTAGCCAATTGTGGAAATAAATGTGTCTGAGAGCTCCAGATCTTTTTACCTCAAATTCCTTATGGAATCAGCTGTGTATATAAATATCATATTCTCATTCCAGAAATTGTCTTTGTAAGGGGTTTATAGGAAAGGTTTATCCACAGATCTAAATCAAGATTTTTAAACTTATAAGTTATACAAGGAAATACTATACTCAAGATGTAAGATAGAGGAGGTTCTATTGCATTCTGGGTACCAATAATATACTGTAGTGGTATAAAACTTCAACCACTATAAGTAACTCACTAGGTTAGATCTGTCCACAGAAACATGTAATTTAATACATTTAACAACAAGGTCATAAGGAAGATGAAATTAATGAAAAATATTTCTGATGGTTTTTGTGCCAAGGACTATGCCTGACAGAAAAGTGGACAACAGCTTACTGGACCATTTGACTGGCAACAAAGTCAGTGGCCTTTCCTGTGTATGACTCTGAATGCAAATTGGGTAGGAAAGATCTGCTTCCTGGAATTAAATATGGAGAGTGCACCTAGTCCTTTCTATTCAATTCACTTTATTTGTTTTGTCTTTTTTTTTTTGACACAGGGTCTCATTATGTAGTCTAGACTGGCCTTGAATTGTGATCCTCCTGCCCTAGCCTCCTGGAGGGCTGGGATTATAGGCATGAACCACCATGCTTGGCTCAATTCACTTTAGGGACCATTTCAAGAGGAAGTAATGAAGTCTTGTGAGCCATGTGGTTTCTCATGAAAGTTAGAGGTATCCAACATTCCTATGGACCTTGGACTTATTCCAGTCTTACACAGGATCTGAGTAACTCCATCATCTAGCAATATTTTTCTTCCAGAGAAGTAAGAAGGAGGGTAGATAAAAAGGTATCGCAGAGAAAAGCCAAAGAAGAAATAAATAAATTTGTCTTAAGAGTTCTGAAAGCCTGCCGTTACTTGGAATTATTGCTCTATCACTCCAATGACATGTCTTCATCAGTGACATTGAAAAGATTTATGGAGGTTAGTGTCTTAAGTAGGCCCAACATGCTTGGTGTCAAAAATTATTTATTAGATCAACCAAAAATAGTGCTGACCAGAAGACCATTGTGAATGGTAGGGCGGTGAGGTAGTACCTCACTGGTAAGTGAGTACTGCTGCTACTTATTTAGCAAGCATCCAGGCTACGTACAGTATTGTATGCAAGGCAGTCACATACAGATGCAAGTGTGTGTGGATGCAGCTCCTGTGTGCTGTGCGGTGTACACCTGTGCAACTGTGCGTGACTGTGCCAACTGTATAACAGAGCTGTAGAAAATAGTAACAAAAATACATTCCACATCTAGGCAGGAATCTAGTTATTTTTCAGAGCCAAGTGTAGGGTTTTTTTATTTCCAGAAGAAAATACGTTTTCCTTAAACTGAGAAGACATGATCGCTAAACACTGTATACCAAAGATAATAGATTCAAGTTGAGATTTTCAAACAGATTTGCCTCAGTTCACATGTTCTATGCTTTGTTTACTCCACACAGCTATCCTTTCATGTATAAGGATGTCTTACATTCAAATGACTTCAACCACAATTGTCCAGGGTACTAGTAGCTATTTGAGTGGTTACAGCAGGAAACAAATGGTTCGCAGACTTGTAGAACTGTAGCATTGCACTGCTAATGTAAACTGGAAAACAGAACAGTGTTCAAAGCTAGAAAATGAGGATCAGCCAGGGTTGGGGCCAGGGGGCAACCTGAACACAGATTTCACATCACCAACCAATCTGGAAAAGTGGTGGTCAGAAAAGGAGAGGGTGAAGACAGGACATGCTCATGGACCTAGGGCTGAGGAGGACCATGACAATTTCCTAGAATAAATGAAGCATTTTCTCTCTAAAGGCAAACAGTAATGTTCAAGTATCAGTGTCTTAAACCATCATCATCCTGAATATGTTTTCACATTAAATTTTGGTTTCAATAAGATTGCTAATGTTAAGAAACTTGTTTCTTAGATTTTCTCTTTTAAAAGTAGGGGACAAAAGAAAAGTATAAACTATATGATACCCATCACTGGCGCTCATCACCCAGTCAAAGCTATTGCAAAACTTCTGTGTAACTCTAGCCAACCCTTTCCTTCACATCAGAAACAATGTAATTTAGCTGGGAATTGGGTGGATATAAGCTCGGGATAAATAGCTTCACTTTTTAAAAAGGACATTCTAACATACTGTGTTGTATTAGTAAGTATTTGTCACAATTTCCATGTGTAAGGGCACATTTCCTATCATATGTAAATTCAGTCACTTTCCTCCACTGCCCATGAAGCAAATGTGTTTGTCAGCAGTAAATAAAAAATATTTAAAGCTTCACCATGCCCAGGACAGGTAGAGAATTCTGATGTTTGTGTTCTTCAAGAGAGTCAAACAATCTAAAGAATCACACATATTTCCAACAATTCAGTTTCCTCTCTTGTACCACACTTTAAAACTCAACGAGCCCAGCACATTTAAAGGATTTTTCTAAAGGACATAAAAACAAGCTGGATAGTCTGAAAAGTCTTGCTTGCCTCAAACAAGTCAGACTTTTTTCTTCTATCACCTATGCTCAAAAATGGATTCCTTTTCACCTGCAATTTGGCATGGAGATTCAACATCAAGGCTGGTGGCAGTGAAGAACACCAGACTGTCATTCTCTCATGTACATTTGGAATTAGGACAGAGAACCATGGCTCTAAACCAACATAGTGTCATTCAACTTTTTTGCTTATTCTCAATCCTCAAGCTTCTCTGCTTGCCAATGCCAGCCAGGAGCCTTTTAGACATTTCCCATTAGAAATTTTAATATAGATATGCCGCAAATCTGTTAAAGTGCTATATGTGTATCTGTACTCGACATAGCAAAGATGTCACTCTTTCACCATGAACTAATTCTCCCCTGTTGGGGGCGATATCACCCCTGCTGAAAAATGCATGTTGCAAAAACAACAGCTACAAAAACTCAAGCCCACATTTTATTGTCTGTTCACAGCCAGAAATTTCTAAATCAATAATGATTTAGCAACACTTCAGGCAAAACAATTACATCTGAATCACTTCTGAAAATAAAATGCTTTAAAAATACATAATCTTTGAAATACATAAAATTGGGTGAAATATTGTTCTAGCAGTCAGTAACATCCCAGTTATTTTTTTTGCATTCCTCTCAATTTGTTGAGCTCTACTTGATGCTTGCTCATAAAACCAAAGATTTGATTACTAGATTTGATTGCTGTTGAATTTTATGCACATTTCAAAACGTGAACAAGTAAAACAACCTGTGAGAAAACATTTTTGAGGATGGTGGCAACTGGTAATTTGGGAAACCTGATAGAAAACATCCATAGAAAGCACTATAATTTTCAATTTACAGAAGAAATAGGCTAACCTTTGCTGCTCACAAATGGCCTGAAAATAAATGGCCCGCAAATACATCAGAAAATGTGTTAGAAAAACAAATCAGTGCTTCATTAGAAAATCGCTTTGCCACCAGCATATACAAGTGGGAGAAACTGTTCCATCCAAAAAGATTCCAGATTGCTCATGTTCTATTACAACTCCTCCAAAATAACCAAAGAATTCTAGCATTTTCAAATACTCATGGCAAGAAACTTATTAAGCCTAAGAAACAGAATACTCACTAACAAATTTAGACTATATCCTGTCCACTACTGATGATGCTTTGCATTTTTATGTTGCTTTCAAAATAGTAAGGGCAGAGAACAAAAATCTTCTGTATAAGCCAATCAAAAGAATGTCCATCACATTAAAAATTGAGTTCACCTACCTTCACTGGTCCACGTTCATGACTGAAGCCCTGCACCAGTTGCACATAAGACATTATCAAAATATTCACCACTGCCCACTCTCTGTACATTTTGAATATTTCAATATCCACTGATTACTAAGCAGTTGATACCAGACAGCTAGTGAAAATTTTTTCAAAAGGCATTCTCCAGAAGGAAAGTTCAAACACCCAAAACTTCACATGGAAAAACAGATAATCAGTTGTGATCAAAATCCAATGAAATGACTTCAATTAGACAAGGTACTTTTTTTTCACAATCTTAGTGGGGGAGAGATGAAAAAAATTGAAAAATATTCTCATGCTCCAAAAATAATCAGGAGGGGGTCATGTCTTCCACTTGAAGTTAGAATTCACTCTACATTCATTTCATGTCCAGCAAATTAAAAAAAGAGACTCTCCACTATACAGACCCAGGTTCTAGTTGCTTTGTAAGGAGGTGGTGCGGCCACCAATGCTAGCAGCTGGAACCCAACTCTGGATTAAAGCTTTTTTCCCCAACCTTCATGGAAGCTTGCAGAAGCACGTGTCTTAAATCTGACGCAGATTTTGGCAGAAAATGCAGGGCAGTCTTGGCTGTAATCCTGTTGTATCCCTCCCAATAGCAGGAGAGTTTTGAAAACTGACTCGAACGCTCGAATGCTCCGGGCTGCTGTTATTTTAAAGCAGATAACCTGTAACATGAAACCCCAGAAAGCTGTCTTGGTGGTTGTATTGCAATAGGATTGCTTAGGAAGGGACCCGGATGCTCAGGGATCTTCTGCCAGTGACACAGAAAGGAATCAAATATGCTTCAAAAATCTCACAAATGCACAAAAACAAAAACGTCGATACACACACACAAAAAACAAACATACACAGAGATCTTTTTCAACAGAAGCCTAATAACCAGTCAAAATGAAGAATGCTGATTTTTAAAGAAGCACCATTTAGGTTTATTTGCGTGTGCCAGGAAATATGCTACATACATTGCTACAAAAGCCATGTTATCACTTTAATGTGGAATTCTTTAGAAGCAGCTTTGAAAATTGAATGCCTTGAATGGTCGGACACCACAAATGGCAAAATTCTAGGAAACATCGTGCTCTTGTGCTCTTCACTAGTTTCCAATCTTTGATTTCCAGGTTTTGGCCCTTTCAAATCCATTCTTTGCATTTCTAAAGTCAAGAATGGCCTCAGAAATCTCTTCATTGGTGTTCATCACAAATGGACCTAAGGCAGAAAGAGACATTCACAAAGTTCTATGACAACATTTCCCTCCACCACTAGAAATGGTACAGAGTTTTGAAGTTCCTAACTTGAAACAAAATCTAGGCACACCCAAACGGCAAAGGTTTCTTTCACAGTGTTCAATTCTGCAGAACTGTAATTTGAGGGTTTTGGCTAGGATTGCGTATGATTATAGATTACCGTGAAGACCAAACTTTAGATAGTGGAATTGATGTCATCCATTCATTTCAGGTTCCTCACCAATAATGGCAATTCCTTTATTCAAAGCATTCCCAGATTTGGTTCTATTACAGCCATATTTTATAGCTGTTATTTTTACAACATGAGCAGATGTCAAGAATTGAACCGATCGATAGGATGAATTGGGCCAAATTGCACCATAGTTTTGGTGTCTGCCTAAGCAGTATATGAGGCTGTATGACAGTTTTAAGTCATTTTTGTTGTTGTTGTTGAGAGAATAAGTCTCTTTGATAATAAATCAAGTAAGATACAATGTTAACAATAAATGAATCCAGAAAAGGCTAAATTTGTGTTTAAATTTGTGTTTTGATATCATTCTTGCAACTTTTCTGAAGGTTTATTTCTAAGCATTTTGCTTTAAAAAAAAACAAAGAAAAAAGTGTATTCTCTCTTAAATCTCCAAGAATATGATTAATTTGTATCCTTAATAAAAGTAAGGACACAAAGAGTAATAAATTAAATTTTTATATCATTGATAGTAAACAGGAGTTTTAACTGTTTTCAAACTTGTAGATTGACAAATGTTGATTTTTTTTTCATTTGCTCAGAAAATACCTGCAAATATCCCATCTTAACCAGAGATTAGTTTACGCATTTGCCTCGTTTTTCCTTTCATGTTGAATCATTATTATCATATGCTTGTCGCTAAAAGTGTTTTTTCCTGGTGCCAATTAGGCTTTTCATGCTTATACTGTTATATCTTTTATTTTGATTGCAATTTCTCTTTCACTCCTCATAGTAAGAATTTCAAACCATCATTTCTTTATTCCTTAGGGTCAGGGAATATTTAGTATACTTCAGATTTTGTGAGGAAACAGTGTCTCAACTGCTCAATTCTTTTGCTGAAGCACAAGAGCAGCTATAGACAACTTAAAGTGACTGTCCATGACTGTGTTCCAATAAACCCTCATTTACAAAAACATGCAGTCAACAGATTTGGTCCATCCTTTCGTCTAAGTCCTAGATCTGAACTTGTGTTTTGTTAAACATATACAAGAAGTTCTCCCCTAAATTACAAGGAGGAAAAGTGTCTCTCTCTTCTCATTTCTTTACATATTGTGAGGGCAAAGGAGTACTGGATTATCGCTAGGCCATGTCTTATTTGGTATTAGTAGAGTCACTGATGGCCTTGTCCATTCAGTATATGGCTTCTATCAGCCTGCGGAGGTTCCCAGCACTCCTTTTACAGAACTTCCTCCACTAAGGGGCTTTTTCTGAGAGACTTGATTTACATATTAACTGTATCATGTAGAGGAGATAATGCATTCAAACTTCTTAACCATTGTTAGCATATCAACATAGATTTGGTGATAACTATAATTTAAAACTTATGAAAGCAGATACAGGTTAATATGCCTTGCGGATGCTGAGGCCTGTGGGAAACAGAATGCCATAGGAAGGGAAAGTTCATCAGAAGGCATCTAAATTCATTCATCCATTCAATTATTCATTTATTAAGTATTTACTGAGTGCCTATTAAATGAAAGACATTGTGCTAGGAGCTAGAGACATAAAGATGAGAGATAAATAAGCAACAGCCTCTGCCCCCTCAAAGACCTCAAATTGATCATAAAAACAGTGTGATACATGGAATGATAAAAAGCACACAAAACCTATAGAATTAGCCCAGACAGGGGAGGAGGAGGGATCTGGGGAAGGATTCACAGAGGGAGTGATGTTTGAACAGTTATCAAAGGAAGAATGGCATTTTCAGGATTGGCATGTTGGAGAAATTGAGGATAGAGTCACAGTGCTGGAAGGAGAGCCTACAGGAAAAAAAGAATGGGCATCTGAGATGTAGGACAAGGAAGAACACTTGGACTCTGGATGCCATCTATGGGAAGAAGTTTGGACATAATTATGTAGATGATCAGAAATTACCGAAGGTTAAGAAGTAGGGAGTAACGTGATCTGATTTGTAGTTTCTAAAGGAGACTTTGTAAGCAGGGTAGAAAATGTTGCTGGCCTGGGAGGCTGAATCAATGGTGGAGATGCAAAGGGTGACTAATGCACAGGACATAGGATAGGAGGCTGTGAGTTGAATAAGGAGTTCAGTTCTGGATGTTATGACATTAAGACAATAAAATACTTCCCAGCAGAGGTCCCTGGACATTGTTGGGACTATGGATCTGGAGCTCATGAGAGAAATTCTACCTGGAAATGAAGATGTAGACTACATCAGGTAGGAAGAATGAAGAGCCCTTGTATGCAGAATAACTAATAAATCCAGGAAAGCACCCAGTGGAAACCAACCTTTAAAGGACACACAGAAAAAAAAAAAACCCAATATGTTATAATCCTGAGTCATAACATAAAAAAATAAAGGACCACATAAAATGAGATCAGATGGTTGGCCAAGGACTGATCTGCACACTATACTTTTCCCATAGTTTGCATCTGTGGAGCACCACTTTCATGTCCCAACTGTTTTTTGCCGTTGTGCACTTCTGGGGTTCCATTTTGATACTTTTCTGGAATAATCTGCCATGTTTCTCAATTTATAATGTACACATCGCCCGGGGAGCTCATTACAATTCCTATTCTGGTTCAGGAGGTCTGTAGTGAGGGCATGCATTCTGTATCGCTGCCTATCTCCCCATGTGATGCTGATACTTCTGATCCATAGACCATACTTTAAGAAATAAGGCTCTAGTATACAGGGAAGTGTTGGAAGCTTGGAGTCCTCCAAAGTTTCATATTTTTCACAAAAATCCAATAGACCACAGCAACAGTATTTGCTACGGTTTGAGTATAGTTTGTCCCCTTCTCAACTCAAGCTAAAATGTGATTGCCACTATGGCAGTGTTGGGAGATGGGACCTTTAAGAGGTGATTAGGTAATTAAGAGTGGTTAATGCTTTCCCCAGTAGGTGAGTTCTCACTCTTCCAGGACTAGATTAGTTATCATGACAGTGAGTTGTTAGAAAGCAAATTCACCCCTTGTGTTTTGCCTCTTCTGCATGCACCCTCTTGCCTTGCCACTTTCTGCCATGGAGTTGAAGCAGCATGGGGCCCTTGCTGATGCCACACTCCTGGACTTCCTTGCTTCCAGAAGCACCACCCAAAATAAACCTCTTTTCTTCATAGATTACCCAGTCCAGGTATTCTGTTAGTGCAACAGTAAATAATTAAGATGGTATAGCCACTGTTATTTTAGATAAGATAAAAATGACACCTAAGTCCCCAATAGACTGCAAAATCTTTTTTCAAGTTGAAATCCCCAATGACAGACTGGAGATGTAGCTCAGTATTAAGAACACTTGCTGAGCATGCATAAGACCCCAACACTGAAAAAAAAAGAAAAAGAGACAAACACTGTTTTATTTTTCTCAGTTCCAAGATCAATGACCTACACAATGGGTACTTAACAAATGTTTCTTTTTTCTTTTCAAAAAGAAAGAGGAATATAAAGATAATCACCACATTATACATTTTCCTCTGACAATGGAGAGATAAATCATCTTTAGACACTATATAGGTACACTGCTCTCAAAGAAAAAGAAAGTCAGCCAGGGAAAGCATCATCATTTTGAACTTACCATGTTGGACAACCGGTTCTCTTAATGGCTCCCCAGCAATCAAGACAAAATGACTTCTCTCAGGATCCTAAAATTAACAAAGAAATCATGAACCAATAAACATACTTATTTTTAAATGTCAAATTGGGAACAATTTGTAGTTGACATGCTAGCTAAATGAGTGGTGTTACTAATTCTGAGTACAAATTCCAAAAATATTTTCTGTGCAACACTCAATGTGTTTAATAGCAACTAGAAGGCAAGAATAAGTCCAAAATATTAACATTCTCATATTAAAGGAAAATTTAAATTAAGATCTTCTTTAATTAGAAACATCTTTATGATAAACTATGTGACTGAACTGGTTTATTATAGGGCTTATAATTTTTCACTAACAATATATTTTTAAAGGAAATATTACTTATACAACCCCCAATAAGATTTTATTTATGTTGGACATTCATTACTAATAATATAAAATATGCTCCAGAAATGCTGCACTAAATGGAGCCTTATAAAAACAGCATCCACGGGACAACTGCTCAGGGAGATTTCTTTCCAAAGGGTCCTATTTTATTAAAGTCTCTAAAACTTTTTCTTTTGGATTAAGGAATTACTTTTTCTCTGAAACTGGGAAAAAATAATTATAATATCCAGAGCAAATGTGGATACAGGGAAAGATATACTTTCATTTATCTTTTTGGGATATTTTCCAAATTGATACAGTTATCCTTCTAGAAAGCAATTTAAAAATATTGCTCAAAACCTCTAATATTGCTATTGTCCTCTGATCCAGTAAGGTCAGTTTTGGCAATTCAGTGTAAGGGAAAACTCAGTTCCATAGAGTTTCTTCAGTGCAGCACTAATTACCACAACAAAAATTGGAAAGAGTTCTCCAGTAATGAAGGGTTAGCTAAATAATTATGATCTTAACATGAAATATTATGTGGCCAACAAAATGTGTAAATGTTCAAAAGCTATATTGTAAGTTTTTAAGATATCACAAAATGGTGTGTGTGTGTGTATATATATATATATATATATTATAAATGTTTTTTCATTTTTAGGGTAGTCAAGAATTTATATATCGAGAGATTAAGGAAGAAACATACCAACATTTTAGCATTGGTTCTTTTTGAGTAGTAGGAATGAAGGTGATTCTTATTTTTTATCTTTTTTTAAATTTTTTATTCATGCCTTCTTGTTTTTTTAATTTGCTATACTAAAAGTGCTAATTTTAAAAGGTAAAAAGAGGAGCTGGGGTTGTAGCTCAGTGGTATAGCATGCATGAAGCCCTGGGTTCAATTCTCAGCACCAAAAAAAAAAGCTAAGAAGAAACATAAAGTATATATATTTTGAAGTTTGTGTTTCGGGAAATCAAATGCATTTCTGGCTCAAAAATCATATGATCATTTCATTATATAAAACTATTTAAATATTTTAAGCAATTAACATAACTATCAGTCTTATCTTTCTAAAATCATACCTATTGCATAAATATATTTATTTTTCAACAAATTTAATTATTCAAAATTGGTGCTTTGATTTCAAGTTAAGAACTATATTACTGTTGGGGTGAATTATATATATATATATACATATATACTTCAATATTTGTGGTGCTCTGTGTTCTCACAACTTAGCAAAGCTGAGACGATGAGGTGCTAAGTTGCGGTGACGGGCTGTCAGGCTGTCAGGCTGTCAGAGGTGCTGGAAGGTTCTGGCTTGTCCTCATTCTCCTCCATGCCATATCTAGCACTTTCTAACTGCTAACCCTGCTGACCCAAAACATCCCCAGATCCCCATTTTCAGATTCAGAGTTGTGGCTGCAGAGCTGCAGACTTCTCCACCAGCTGCGCCTGGTATCAGGGGCTGGATGTGCTTGGCATTCTAGACTAACTGGGTTGGTGACTTCTCTGATTTCTCAGCTTCTGCTTCTACAGCTCCATTGCCACAGCTGCTCCCACTTGCAAAGCCTCTCTCTTTGGGGAGCTACCTTGTGACTGCCATCTTGAAGGAATACTCAGTTAGCCAAGTAGGGAGGCAATATGAAGCAGAACTGAGGCACCTCCCAAACAACAGTCCCAGCTGAGCCCAGTCCCAGACTGCCAGCCACTGAGCGATCCCAGAGAGACCAAAGAGGAATCAGCCACTACACTGGCCAGAAACAGTGAGCCACTCAGTTTTAGGGCCGTTTGTTACTCGTTAACAGGTAATTGAACATTACATATTTCTCTGGAGTCTTCCCTCAGCTTTATCTAATTTAGAATAGAGTAACAAAGGCAAAATGACTAAACACTTTAAAACAAAACCACCAAAATTTCTAAAACTTCACTCATATGCTAATAATATAACATCTTCTTAAATACATGATAAAATTATCTTCTATTAATGCAAAACTCTTTAATTAGAAATCATTATATTGTTATTAGTCTGAGATTTATCACTGAATTCAACAAAAATTAAAAATTAACTCAACCCTCCATATAGCTAATAAAATTTGCCATATTTTGTAGGACTGAAATTTGCTTTACCTTTTAGTTTCAAATTTTTAAAAATTAAATGGGAATGTAGGATAGAACAGTTTCTTCAAAACCCTTAATTTACTCCCTACAAAATCCAGGGTTAGTGTCATTTAATACATCTACTTAACTGATGCTTTAGCCGCTTCCTCACATTAAAAAAATATTACTGTTTAACCATTACCAGGTCTGTATTTGTTTATGCATTACCACCTTACCCATCCATACACCAGCCAGCTATCAAAATATACAAATATGAACCCAGCTGCAAATCACAGTAACCCTAAAAAAGCTTCTGTTATTTCAATAATTTAAAATGGGTATCATAGAGCTCATATGTTAAAACGATTGCTTCACTTTGAGCACAGATCCTCACTGCCTAGTTCTTCTTCCTTTATGTATAATTCTAATAACTGTTTTATAGCTACTAAGTCTGCAAGACAAGAAATTGAGAGTTATAGAAGAGAAAAGCACTGTCTTGTAGCTCCAAAATATCTGCTTTCCCTGGGCATATAGCAAATCCTTGAACTTTTTACACTGTCACTTTCTGAGGCTGGTGCTTGCCACACTCCTTACTGAAAGTCCAGCAGGTCTTAGGAACGTTCACTGTGTTTGCAGGAGTGCTACCGACAGGGAAAGAAGCAAGGCAAGGTGTTTATCTGAAATTCTTTCTTTTTTTTTTCAATGTGATACTTAACTGACTAAAACCTCAACAACAATTTTAAAAACTCAGTTATCACTCACAAAGGATTTATTCTGTAAAGTTTTTGGAGGGCTGAAATTGTAGTGTGAAACAAGAGATACCATTTATAAGTTGATCTGAAAGAGAATATCATTTAACAGTGTTCTGTTTTTCTGTTTGCATGTTTTTGGTGGTACTGGGGTTTGAACTCAGGGCTTCACGTTTTCTAGGCAGCAGCTCTACTGCTTGAGCCTGTCTTCAGCCCTTTTTGCTCAGTTATTTTGCAGATATTGCCTAGCTTTTTGCCTGGGTTGACCTGGACTACAAGCCTCCTTATTTTAGGCTTCCTGCTGTAGCTTGAATGACAGGGACATGCCACTATGACCAGCTTTTTTTTCATTGAGATGGGATCTCTCGAACTTCTTTCCCAGACTGGCCTGCAAGTGTGATCCTCCTTTTATTTATTTATTTATTTATTTATTTATTTTATTATTCATATGTGCATACAAGGCTTGGATCATTTCTCCCCCCTGCCCCCACCCCCTCCCTTACCACCCACTC